CCCCCCCCACTCTCACAATCCACCAAATGCATGCGATGAAAAAAAAAACAACAACAACAACAACAGCCAAATAAGATCAATGCGAGTGTAAAAAACGCACACACACAAACAGTGAGAAATATATGGGGGTGAGGAGAATGGAGGAAAAGACATGCACACATTTCTAGGCTGCAGCATAACCGGTTCTCGCAAATATAACCATCTTTTAGTTTGTCGAAACAATGCTCACAAATGAATAGTCAGTCTGCTTCTCACGCCGGAATGGAGGAAAACAGAGTGAGGCATCTTGGTGACCCGGAATGCGAAGGGGCGTCATGTTAGTACCGCAGGAAATCCAGATTCAAGCTCGAATTGGAAACCTTGGGGGAGGTATTAGAAGGCACATTGAGCGGTGAAATCTGGCCTGAGCTACCTGTTACGCCGACGATCTCCACAGAGTTTAGGAAGCCACCAGCGGCGAGATTATAACCACCAATCACAGCAATACAGGGCACACCTGAGGACACGGTTGTCGTTGAATGAGTTGAAATTGGTGTGAGTGAAACAGCACATGGCGACGCACGACCAATTGATAGAGAAGGCCCTGGTAGCCAACACCAAGTACGCGAGTCAAAGATTTGGGTCTGGGTTATGGTGGACAGACCATCAGAACCGCCGATTAGGAGGAGACGACCTGAAGGTTTAGAAAGTGTTAGTCACCATAATGGATGTCTAAAACTACCCACCAGAAAAGGGAGAAAGGGGGACTAAGGCAGCGCCAATGAGAGGTCCCCGGTTGAGGAGTTCAGGAAGACGAATCCAGTGACCGCAACGAGGATCATAGGCCTCACCGGAAGGAGAGAATTCGGTGCATTCGACGATGTTTGGGATGGAGGTTTTGAAAGGTTGAGTGGATGGAGTACTAGCCGTCTCGCTGACTCCACCTACTGCTACAATTAGGTTCCTTTGACTCAAGCACGCCGCACATAATTGGCTCCGAGCTACAAAGGAGAAATCACACCATTATCGAAGCGTATAAGTTTCTAACCTCCCAGAATTTGCATACTTCCATAAGGGTCGACGACCAAGATTGCTGTTTGATTTAGAGGCTTTTATATGGCAATAGACATGATTGCTTCGCCTTTAATTCTGCCTGGCTAGAAGTCACAATGTTCATTAAGTATATGACTTTAAGAAGTGCAGAGATAAGTAAGGAGAAGATGTTTGGTCGCAGAAATCTTGCTTCCAACGTCTTGGTTTCCATATTAATAGCAGAATGTTCAGCTACTGAATTTAAGCCAATCAAATATCTGCCGTATTGGTGTTTACAACGGTTTGTCGTTGTCGCTGATAAAAGCCAAATTAGAACATCAACAGCTGAGTTGATGACTAACCCTCGGACATGGGGGGTAAGCTGAGCCATCTGTCCGAATCGGGGTAGTAAACCTCAACACTAGACAGGGGAGAACCTTCACATTGTCCTCCCATCACCACAATTCGTGACTCATCCGCCAATGTGGCAACAGCGCAACAGCTTCGCTCCTGTTGCATGCTGTTAACAGAACGCCACTTCTTGTAATATTCGGCTTTTGAGTCGAAGCTGAGACTGAAAATGCGGCAGAAAACAATGGAACGGTTAGACAGAAGAGCTTTTCATAGGCGTACTTTGTGTGCACGTTTAGTCTCACCATTCAACGGTAGCGAGATCATTATTGCCATCACATCCACCACACGCGTAAACACAAGGAGCCTTTTCCAAGGCAGCCAAAGCAAGCCGACCACGTGGGGAGCGCATCGCCGGTCCGGGTTGAGCCGTCAAGCTGACAGATTCATAACCGCCGAAGTTTGAGACGCTCTCAAAGTCTGAGTTTGCACTGATTATAGAGGCTCTCCGGCATGTGGAGGTATCCACCTCACTAAAGGGCCGTGAGATGTGTAGAATTTCAGTTGAACTGAGACACCGATTCTGAGAGGCACCACCAGCAATGAGGATGCAATGGGTTATCATACTACTCTCATCATCCTGCCCATCCTCAATTGTTGAGCAGATGGCGCAAGCCCCAGCCGCAGAACGAGCTTCCAGGAGAGGAGTTGGAAGGCAACCAAAAGAGCGGAGGATGGAACCTCTTCGATGGATGTAACCCGAAGGGGAGCATTCATCAGGGTAGTGATCGTCTAATCGAAAAGACAGGAGCATTGAGGAGGGGGAAGCAGTAAGATGGTGCAATGTGAAATGAGCAGAAAGCCATGCTGACGATGGGGATAAATGAGCTCTGTGACGCTATATTTGGCAAATGCATTAACATCTGAACGTGTGGTAGCGATGTAGTAAATGAAGTGAAGGGTGGACATCGACGGTGTCTAATGCAGCAACCGCACAAATCATGACCAGATCAGGCGAAACCAGACCAAACCAGACGTACAGTGAAGCAGTTCCAAGAACACTCCGAGTCGAGCGAGGGACGTGGGGCGTCGCGACGTGGCTGCTGCATTTCGATAAGGCAAAGTAGTGATAACAGATCCAGAAGTGTTTATGCTATTCAGCTTATCTACGCAATCACATAGCTGATAGGCACCAAGGTTCACGACTGAAAACTCACCCTTTGTTTGGGTTAGTTTTATGTCACCACCCGGGTTGCTGATTTGCATGACAATATTCCCTTTACATGGTTAATTAGCACAGAGGTTCACTGACGATTTGGAATGAGAATGATGAGGACTAAAAAACCTTTACTCTCTGTATAAATGACACTGAGACACAAGTTATTGAACAAATTTCTCATCCTCAGATCTTAATTCACTGAATTATAATGTTTACAAAATGTTTTATACACATAAACACCTCCAGATCGTCTGTTTTATAGCTTCCAGGTTTTCAAGGTATAATTGATTCAGTGGCTAAAGAAACTCTCCAGGGGTAAAGTAGCATCTTCACACCCAAAATGAGACAAGAAAATTTTCTCGATTTTCCACTGTGTTAATAACTCTTTTGTTCCATTGGAGAGGTGTGGATTCAACCCTAATCTCTTATATCAAAAGTCAAAGCGGTAGATGAAATTTCCGAGGTGAATCCTTCAAACATCCTTTAATTCTCAGCAGCAAAATTTTGGAATAACGAGTTCTAACCTTTTTGTTAGAACATCAAAACAATGAAATTTCAAGCCTAAATACTCACCAAGACCAGAGGTCGCGGTGGTCATAACCATAGCAGTGGATGTGGTGTTGATGGGCGGGGGCGAAGGTGGTAGCACGATCGATGTAGGAAGAGAGATTGTCGTAGAATAGGCTACATTACCTCCTCCCGCCACTGAAGAGGATGCTGAGGAGCTGGGTCCCGAAGGTGCACGTCTTCGCTTCATTGAAATGCTCACCAATCGTCCCTCCAACTTTCCAAGGTGGATGGAGATCGTTCCCACTGCAAGAGAAGGAGAAGAGGAAGATAGTAGGAAACCTCCACAACCAAAAAAGATAACTTTTACCACCTTGGGAGCTAGCGCCACAAGCATTAGTGGATACGGGTAAAATTGACAAAGAATTTGTTAAAAGGCTCCTAAATATTTGATTAAAATGGGGATTAATGCTATTGCGTTGACAAAGTAATGTAATCGTGAGAGCGAATGCGAATTTCAATAGAAAAAATGCCTCACACAATGACAGATAATAATCGACACCCAAACTCAGAGAAACTTTCCGAATAATGCAAGCAATTCATGCATACAACTTATTCAAAGTCAATATCACGGCAAAGAAACCTTTGAGGAGGTGGAAATCGGGCCAAGAGAGTCGATAATTTTCTCAATGATTTGATGCCTATTTGGTTGGGAAGAAATCAATACCTTCTCACGGAGACGTGAGCTGCATTCGCCAACACAGGGTGAAATTGCACAGACTGCACGGTTTTCAGCTCTTGTTGAGAATGTTTACACTTTTGGAGCCAAAATTAAGCAAAAAGTTGGTACTTTGCTCTTGGAAGCCCTAATCACCTACCTCCCAATGACGTCTTTGCCAATAAACAGGTCTCTTTGTCGGCAGAATAGGCCAATCGGTTAGGCGGCAACGAGAGTGGTGGCATCGGTAGCACTGGCTGCACTGAAGGTAATGATGGAGCTCCAACCACGATCTCACTTCCACTGCTCATTTGTCGACCCACCTCACTGACTTGAATTGGTTCTCCCGTCTCCGATGAGGTGAGTGAGAGTTGGGATGATGGCTAAAACCACAAATATTGACAGTGACTAAGAGGTCTTCGATGAGGCATAAAAAGGCGATGAGAAGGTATTTTAGGCTGAAAAGACATAAGCTTGCACAAAGTTGAAAAGTCAAAGACGCAAGAGTGTGGCGCTGCAAGTATGCCACCTGAGAGCACGTGCCTCGAGGAAGTCATGTGATTGTTAGATAGCACCAAGAGCGACAACAAGAAGGCAGTAGATATAACAGGTCGCTTCTCAGCCAGACAATCCACACCATGCATTGCCTACCGGTTACGCACATCTATGACCATGGAAAAGTTTTCAGTCTAATTTTAAGGTTATGAGCGCATTTACATGGAGAATGAACGGTTAAAGCCACTGAAGAATCGACAACCTTGTCGATGGAGTCAGGGCGGCAATTATGTGACATCATAGATACTTTGCGGTGCCTTTAATGTGGCAGCTCTTATTTGTAGAATTGCTGGTCTGATTCTAGGACAACTACTGAAAACGAGCTAATGTTATTATGGCGGGGTGCCAGATATCGCCAATCAAAGTAAAACCTCAAATCCTACCTTAGGAAACGGTCTCAATACGATAAAGACGTGCAAGACGACCCTTTGCAGACTTCACGCAACCGACTGCTTCAGAGGAGTATTAAGAGCAGGGCCAAATTTAGTTGACTAACTTTTATTCACCTAGCTTATGGTGCTGCGAGTATGAAGACACTTTTCATAATTGTAACTGAGACACCGAAAATTGGGTGCCTATGTTGCACGTGCGCTATGACGCGCAGTGACATCAATCGCACATGGAGTTGATGAGGTGATACCAATGATAATACCAACGTTGTTATCAAAATCGTAGTAGTGAAAAAGGACTTTTGCCGCTGAACAAGGTAATTATCCGGGTTTATCTAGACACTATTATCGGACTCTAGATTTAGGGTTACTGCAACAGCAAGGCAACTCCGAAGTCACTGATGGCCTAGAGATTGAACTCGCCGTTTGAATAATGCATGATAGTTTACCTAGTGGTGGACCATTATACGTATGACGTTTTTGTGATGCCAAGCTGTTACGAAGGTGATTTATGTTTTACATAAAATGCACGTATAGAGACAGTTCACTCACAGATTTTCCGAAATTCACGAGCTGAGTATCGGATATTGTCATCTAAAAGACAATTGCATTGATGTCTATTCAAGTAGTTTAGGTCTGGAATGACAGAAAAACGTGTATCTAAAATTGCATACTCTGATTTCGTCGGTGACAATGTCAATAGCAGGAGCGTGGATTTTGTTGTTCAACTTTCTAGCAGCCTTATCCTCGAAAGTGCCATAATTTCCCTCATCCAGTGGTTCCCGATCCTGAATTCGACGAGAGCAGTAAAAAAGAACCCTCTCCGAGAGAACCCAATCGTCAGCATCATTAAAGGGTCTAACATCACAAGAAGGCTCGTGTTGAGGGCTTTGAGAACCTTCAATTACATCGATGAAAAGACGAGCCGAAAGCTGGCCTGTCTGAGAGGAAGCAATGACATCAGCATTGGTGACAATAAATGACCGAGCTGCTGAAGCGAGTTCTTGTGATGTGATATCCTCGATGAAAGGACTAGCACTGATTTGGTCAGATGCAAAAGTGACAAGGGGGCAGACTTCTGTAATGTTAAAAGCTGCTTGTAAAAAAAGCGAGTCATAATATAAACGAATGAATATCAGGTTCTACTTGCCCCCAATGTTTTCCAACGAAATTGATTTCGATAGGAGCTCACCGAAGGTACGCCAAACGTAAAACTGATACTTCTTGGCAATTTTACATACCGATGGTAGAAGAGATAAGTCAACCTCAAATCTAAACAAGTGACAAAATTCGGCATCGTTCAGCCGTTACGGTCATAATAAATCATCAAAAACATATCCGTATAAAGAAGATGAGCTCGGCGAAATTAAAGGAGAACGCTCCACTGTATGAAAACACTGAGATTTGGAGACTTGATAAAGGGAGGAAGTGCAAGCAATTACTTACGCGGGATTATGAAGATACTGGTGAATTGCTTCAAAGGCTTCAGGCGATTCTTCAAGATCGATGAAGACATTGCCTGTATTCGGGCAAACTTTTACTGCTGACACAGGCGAACATTCCAGGTTTCCACCAGACCCAACAGCATCAAATATTCGCTTAAAAAGAGAGCTCGCGGATCCGAAAAGCGACCTTTCACAACTAAATGACGAATTTGAGAATCTAAATGTCACATTGTAAGTCAGAGCTTTGCCCTTCAACTTGGGGCTACAGCTGCACATGTGAGACAATAAGCAGATGGAAGGCCAATGCTACACGTTGAAGCACGCAAACTCACCAAGAGAGTAGGTTAATTTATTTTGATTCATTCGAACAATTGACCTTGTTTAAAAATACAAAAATAATATTCAGAAAAGGGACATCAAAGGCGCAAGATTCTTGCAATTGCCACGCCTTAAATGGTTAAAATGTTGTTAATTTTGCCATTTTAAATTGTCAAAAGGCATCT